GATAAAATAATAGGGTACTTTTTATCCCTGAAAAATTTGATATTCCCGAGGGAAAACAAAAGTATTGGTATAGATGGCGCTGTGTGTATTGCTATATGTCATATTGGCTTTTTATCCTTTTGTGACGCGAGCGAAGCCGCGGGTAAAAGCTAGTAAACAAATAAAAAAACATACTTTAAATAAACCGATACATATAAATACTCCCTCATAATACTTCACGAACACGTCGAAAGAGTTTTTCTTGAAGTGGTACGTGATATATGCTTAGTTCTTACACCTGAGAGGTAGAAACCATTTACCTGTGTAACGCAGCATATGTAAATCGTTTTATGTATAGATACTTTTCATTTCGTGGTGTTTGCTCAGTATTTATTTATTTGTTGCTATTTTCCAATCATTTTCGTTTGTAGATTACCTACCATTGATTTATTTGGATCATTTATTTTGTCTTTGTGAGTGTTTATATTGCTTTTGGGTTGAAATAAACCTGTATAAACCTTTTCTAATAATAATTCAATAATACTATTATTATTTATTACATAACATAACATAACATCACGCCTTTTATCCCCGAAGGGGTAGATAGAGGTGTACATTATGCCACTGTACAATGTAACACCCACTTTTCACTATTTATGTTATAAGTTCTATGTAATAGGGGGTGAGCCTATTGCCATATACCGGGCACAAATCCAGACTCCATGCTACACTTTAACCGACCCGGGAATCGAATCCGAGACCCCTTGCCCGGCAGTCGCACTAGCGACTACTTATTCAGTCAACGAGGCAGTACCTATTTTATTTTTAATTTAAAAAAAAACGTTGCCCCGTACTAGGATTTTCTCATGTGTCATGGGTGCGTTTACAAGCATACAATATCACATACACATGACACCCAGACCTGGCACAACATGTCTGGGTCTCATGTGTGCGGTAATCGAACCCGCGACAGGTTGCACGGCAACCGGTTGCCCAGCCACCGCATCAACCGTTTGTAAGTGGTGTCTAGATCTTAGAAAGTACATATAACTCGGAAAAAGTCACATTGATACTTGCCGTTGGTAGTTTTCAAACCAGCATCCTCATGCATGAGAAGAGAGCGTCTTAAACCTCCGGGCCACCACGACAAGCAGCAAGCAATAAAATAAATATAAAAATTCCGTTCAACAGAAATACTCAAGAAATGACGTAGGTACAAGTATTTCAAAGAACTACGTACATATTTATTAAACTATGTCGTTTGAAATAAAATAAATAAGTATGCATCTATTCCTAAGAATCTCATACACATTATCATCAACAGCCTATAAATGCCCACTGCTGAGCAAAGCCTCTTCTCACACGGAGAAGGTTAGAGCATTAATCACCACGCTTGCTCAATGCGGGTTGGCGATTTCAAACTTATAATTAGAAATTATAAGCCCAGGTTTCCTCACGATGTTTTTCCTTCACCGTTTGTCAGTGGTGTCTAAATAATCTTAGAAAGTACATAAACTCGGAAAAAGTCACATTGGTACTTGCCGTTGGTAGGTTCCGAACCCGCACCCTCATGCATGAGAAGCAGGCGTCTTAAACCTCCGAGCCACCACGTCACCCGAGCCACCACGACACTTCATATTCACTTCATCTCATACACGTCAATCAAAAATAGTATGTTCTTGCTTTGAACATAAAGTTTCTTATTCACTAAAGAGAAATGTTTACTACGCCGCAAGGTGCTTTATTGAATCTTTTGCAACTAGAAACGTATGAAAAGCGTGTTGTAGAATGTAAGCCTATCTTTAATATTAAGTATTTAATTTCGAGATTTTGAGATTTGTCTGCAATTTTGTATGCCATAGGGATGATGACAGGATATGAAAATTAAAAATCTAATTAGTCCGTCAGTTAGGTAATGAAAAAATATTAGACACGTATTTTTTTATTTTGTTGTATAATAAAATGATACTTAGATAAGACGAATTAAAGTTTAGGAGTGGGGGCTAAAACGACAGTGTACAACGAAGTGACGTCACGCGACATTTCAAATCAATATACCTATCGTCGAAAGTATTCGTTTCTGTAAAAAAATAAAAAATTCGTGTGTAATGTTTTAAAATAATCTACCAGACGGACATTAAAATAAAAATTAGTCATCTACCCTATTACCTATTTCAAGCATGCAATTTTGCCTAGTATTCAAAAATATAATTTAATTAATGTATGAGAACCTGTATAATATGGAACTGTTTAAACAATTACGGTACAGTTATAGTATTTCAAAATGTGGGAAAGCCATGATTCGGTACGAATGTGCCAGCTCGACTGGAGTGATCGCACGGCCTCACAGAAAACCGACGTGAAACAAACGCTTGCGTTGTGTTTTGTCTTGTGAGTGAGGTTATCCGGAAGCCCAATTACCCTCTCCCCCGTCTTCCCAAATCTCCCCAATTCTTGAATCCCCAACAACCCCCAAATTCCTAATCCCCAAAAGGCCGGTGTGTTCCGCCTCTGGTGTTCCAAGTGTTCATGGACGACGCCGATTGCTAACGGACGTGATCCATCTGCTCGTTTTCACCGGCTTATCAAAAATGTTAGACTTAACAATCTGATTTAAAACTTAAGTCATGATCAAAATTGTGTATCTTTATCTTGAGTACATTTACCATAAATACCCTCCAATATAGCAGCCATTGAATGGAAAAGTTGTTACTATCTTCCATGGGATTGAAAACCGGAGCACGTATGCTGATCGCATATCTTGCATTTTTGTTCGAAAAATAGAAGCATACCTAGACACTTTGGAGCAAAATTCCGGTAAAAAGAAACACTCATGTCCTCAGGCATTTTGTTAAATTTTCCCCCTTCTCTCAGTGGGGTAGAAACCTCTAATACGGGGAGTGTGAGAATATCATTAATGTGGCGAATATTTTTCGTCGCGTTCCGAAATACATTTTGATTTTCGGTTTTTACGGTTTGACACAGATTTTTCTTCGAGTGATCGTTACCGTATGTTGTAAGAGTATCGAAGTTTTTCTCTCTTTACCTGAATTTTAACGAAGGCTTTTGTTATATTTTTCGAAACGGGGTTTTTGTATGTGTCGTATTTTTAGCTAAAAGTCGGGGGCTACTCACGTGCAAATACTACTTAGTACACTATAGTAGGATGCGTGACATCGCCGCAATCTGGCACGCTGCTCATAAGGAAGAACCCCTCAGTGGTTCGAAACTAGTAGAGCTTTTCTCACAGCTACTTGGCAAGGGGTCTCGGGTTCGATTCCCGGATCGGGCAAAGTACTACTGGGCTTTAAAAAAAATCTCAATAGTAGCACGGAGTCTGGAACTGTGCCCGGTATATGGCAATAGACTCACCCCCTATCACATGGGACTCATAACATAAATAGTGAAAAGTGGGTGTTACATTGTTAAAAAAGATCATTATTTTCATAAAACTTATCATTATATTGAACCACAAATCCCTACTATTCTTTCACAAATCCACTTTCAAATTTCCACCTAAAAAGATGAAGACGCTTTTTACCAAAAATCGGGGGTAATTATAATAAGTCCCGACAAAATCAAGCCATCAATCATTTAGTAGAAAGGTCTCAGTCTAACGGGTTTTCCCTTTTATGTCATAATCGAATTTGTTTATAGCTACCGATTTCACCAACTTTTCTTTATTCCTAAATAGGGTTATCGGTAAATTACCGATATTTTACCCCGATGGAAAAGTTACTTTAGTCTTTTATATTAAGTGTTTTGTTCTAGAAAGTGTTATAAAGCTAGTTATGTTATTGGTGTGCTATCTCAAAGACTGTATCTTTGAGATATTATTATGTGTTAGAAAAGTTCAAATCACCATTACTGTTATGTATATAAATAATGATATCCAGACTATTTAAAAAGTACCTAATTAAGGTTTAGTGTACACGACCCACAGAGACTTAACAGACCAGACTAAGTTCAAAAATAAACTTTGATAAATTAATCATGATAAATAACTTAAAATGTTCAACTTTTTCTAAATTAGATTAATGAAAAGGTTTTTTGGGACGTGAATTAGGGTCTTATTATCGATTAAACGAACGTATTTTTAATACTCCATTTTTTGTACGGGTATGTATTTAATACACATGAATGGAAAAATATATTCTTTGATATATTTAAAGATTTCTAATTTTCTCAAAGGAAATTGCTTATGGATATTTCTTTACATGTTTCAGTAAATAATTTGTTATTAAAATATTGTTGCGTAATATCAAAGCTGGTTTGTGTTTCTGGGGTAGGTAGGGAACAAATTTAAGAAACCGAATTTCTTGTTACTCAGTTTAGTTCTATTAGTAGTCTTAATTATTTATTTATTTTGTTAACATGGGTTTATACTAATTACACTAACACATACAAAAAAGTTATTGATACCCGAAAGGGTAGACAGAGGTGCACATTCTGGCAATGAAATGCTACTGTGCAATGTAACACCCAATTTCACTATTTATGTTATAATATAAGTTACAATACATATGAAAAAGGCAAAGCTTGCCAGACATAAGGTACAAATCCACTTCCATAACAAAAAACATAATAATACATTACGCATATTAATACCTAAGGAGGTAGGCAGAGGTGCTCATGTCCTTACTATACAACAATTATTATTTACTAGTTATCAAATCCTAATCTTGGTCAGTAGTAGCACTTGAAAAAAAAACATTAAAAAACGAAAACCACTTCACAAATAAGCCAAGAAGGCACTTAAAAGACATTTCGAAAACTAGAAACTTTCCAAATAACATTTTCTCTAATCCGAGAATCGATTCCAAATCCCTTACTCTTACAAAGTAATTAAGTGATAGGATAGGTTTTCCAAAGTAAAAGTACTAAGCCTTTTAGGTTTTTATAAATGAAATAAAAATTAGGTACCCTACTCTAGTTATCCGAGGTCCATTTCCACCACAAATACCTACTTTTTGTGGTTTCCATCCTAATGGACACTTTAAGCCGAAGGTAAAACAACATTAATGAACGAACATTTTTGGGGTAAGCATAGCAATTACTATAGCACTTTTGTGTAGTAGTATCCATCTGTTTCAATGGTCGAGTAGTTTCCGATACCAACTGCTGTTTAGTTGATTTCAAAATCTTGAAGACTTCTAGGTTGGCTGAAGAACTTGTCACCTGACCCAATCAATAAGTCTTTCACTTATAAAAATGCTCTTCTAACCGGTTTAAGACATAGAAGTTACGATAGTTCACCTAGGACCTTTGCATAACCTCCTTTATCGTCCAAAGCTGCAAATGCTGTGCACATCTGATCATAGAAGTAGGGTGAACTCATCTAACTTCGTGATAAAGGCATTTGAGTAATAAATACCAATAAATTATTAATTAATTTAATTCAGTCTCCGCATGAGTTTTAATCAGTCTTTTATGAGGAATATTAGCACAAATAATCAGATTTTTTTCTAGAAACCTAAGAGTTCTACCAAATTTACTAAACCAAATTATTAGGCGAGTCACAGAATTTGATGAGTTCACTATACATCAGTTAAGAGTACTCCGCACTTTGGTCTTCTACGAGAATATTTCATATCATTATCCTTACTAATATTATAAATCGGAAAGTGAGTTTGTTTGTTTGTTCCATTTTCACGCCGTAACTACTAAACCCATCGCTTTGAATTTTTGCAGATGTGAAGTTAGAAGTCTTGATTAAATAATAGGGTACTTTTTATCCCGGAAAAAATTATATTCTTGTGGGAAAACGAAATTATTGGTATAGATGGCGTTGTGTGTATTGGTGTATGTCCTGGTTTTATCCTTTTGTGACGCGAGCAAAACCGCGGGTAAAAGCTAGTAATAAATATTCACTCTAGCAGTTCTTATTGGCGTCACCACTACAGTCGCTACAAAAACAAAAACATTCTAACAAACTATCTCTTTTCAACAGGTAAATGGGAGCTAGGCTGGATCCTCTGTGACATCTGGATCAGCCTAGACATCCTCCTCTGCACAGCTTCCATCCTCTCACTCTGTGCCATCAGCGTGGACCGCTACCTGGCCGTCACCAGACCTCTTACGTACTCCAGAAGAAGAAGATCCAAGAAGCTGGCTCTTACTATGATATTCTTTGTCTGGATCGCTGCTGGAGCCATCACTTGTCCTCCTATGTTTGGTTGGTAAGTGAATTTTTGTCACTATATTATCTGGTTATTGGCCGATGTATTTACAAAGCATCAGATTTTGAAGTATCATTATCGTCATTATTTCGCCCTACCCGTATATCCCCAAGGTCACCGGTGACCGCTCTCCGTTAAATACATTGTAGACCTTATTTCCAAAATTTAGAGACTACTTTTATATGAACAAATTTATGGAATATTTTCAACAATTTACAAGGGGTTTATGTTCAATCACTGTTGAGTAAAAAATATGCTTATTAAACCATATTCTGCCACATGAGTTTAAATCTCATTGTTGATGTGACAAACTCGATTTAACATTCAACTTCGTTACATAATTTGTTTCCAATAAAATTGTCAATTACTTCTTCAGAACTTACAAAACATTTTCTTCTTCCAACTCGGCCGATTAATACATAATCTTCCGGGTTATTACGACAGTAATAAAAACCTCAAAACACTCCAGTAACAATAACAAACAGAATTGCATAATTCCGTTCACCATAAATTGTTGTGGGATGACCTTATCCGAGTTGGCACAGACTCTAGGAAGCATTGTATTCAATGATGTTATTCTGTATACTAATGGAGTGCCTTGGCTATAACTCTGCAACGTTAAAAGCCAGGAAATGTAAATTGAATTTTATTACAGTAAGAATATGTCTGAAATTCGTACGGAGAGACCTTGAGATTAACTCGTCAAGTACCGTATTTATAGACACAATTAAAGAACAATAGGTTGCGGTCACCGGTGACCGCTTGGTTTTTGACAGTTTAACTAAAATCGTGGGTTACTCACGTGAATATACTAAGAAAAGCTCTACTAGTTTCGAACCACAGAGGGGTTCTTCCTCATTACCAGCGTGCGCGGTCGCGGTGACATCGAACTTTTCTCAGTATATTCACGTGAGTAACCCGCGATTTTAGTTAATTGAGTATGTCTCACGATAGTTATTATAAAAACAGACTTTGAGATATTCAGCAGTCTTGTGGCTGATCTGATGATGATGATGATGACGATAATGATGATGCAGAATATGTGAGCGTCTATTTAATTCCCCAAGAGTTGGGCAGAGGTTCATATCTACAATGTGACATTTAATTACCCGGATATGTAATGTCATGTAATAGCAGTGTTCAGTGTACGGTTTCAGTTCTGTGTTTTTATTGAAAATGTGATAAAGCGTGAAACCTCAATAATGTGTTTCCCGACCTTAGAATCGAACCAGAGACTTGTTTGGCAGTTACACTTTGGCTCACTTGTTTAAAGTGGCAGGTTTAATATACTTTCATTTATAAATAACTAGCTTTTACCCGCGGCTTCGCTCACGTCACAAAAGGATAAAAAGTAGCCTATGTGACATATATCAATACAGACAGCGCCATCTATACCAATACTTTTGTTTTCCTTCGAGAATATCAAATTTTTCCGGGATAAAAAGTACCCTATTATTTAATCCAGACTTCTAACTTCACATCTGCAAAAATTCAAAGCAATCGGTTTAGTAGTTACGGCGTGAACGTGGAACAAACACACAAACAAACAAACTCACTTTACGATTTATAATATTAGTAAGGATGGGTTGGCATTAGACTGCACTTCACGTAAATTGAAATTTTGTTCTATTCTGGAACCAAATTTTAAAACTTTAACCATGAACACAATGGCGCCATCTATGCGACCTTAAGAAGATTGAAATGACAGAATTAAGGGCAAAGATAAAATTAATAACGGCATAAAATCTTTGGAGATGAGTTTTTTTACAATTTGGTATTGACAATAACGGAGGTTTGGAAGTCATTAAAGAACGCATGGAGAATAAATTTAGGGGAAAGTAGTAATTATGAAGATTTATTAAACGTACTTACTAGCAGTAACCTTGCGAAATGAAGTACAGTTCGATCGTGAATATGGTGACCCTGAGGCCTCGACGCTCCGATTGGTTGGTACATTGGCGCCGGCCAATCAGATTGCCGAACGCGTACTCTAAACGTATACTTTAAACGTAAATCAAACTTGTACTAAGGCTTCAGAATAGGAAACGCGGGCTGAGCTGATGGAAGTTAGATCATGTTGATTTTAAAGAGATGGTTCGTCTTATTATGTATTTCCAAATCTTTTAAATAAATCCTTAATAATTTATAAGTGAATAACTACCTCGTTGATCGAGTGGTCGCAACTGCGACTGCCGGGCAAGGGTCTCGGGTTCGATTCCCGGGTCGGGCAAAGTATTAATGGGTTTTTAAAAAATTCTCAGTAGTAGCACAGAGTCTGGAATTGTGCCCTGTATATGGCAATAGGCTCACCCCCTATTACATGGGACTCATAACATAAATAGTGAAAAGTGGGTGTTACATTGTACAGTGGCATAATATGCACCTCTGCCTACCCCTTCGGGGATAAAAGGCGTGAAACAACACGTGCACAGAGGTGCACATTACTGCACTTAATACCACTGTATAATGTAACATAACACCCACTTTTCATTATTTATGCCATGTAATAGGAGGTGAGCCTATTGCAATATACCGAGCACAAATCCAGATCTCGTGTTATTATTGAGTTTTTTTAAAAACCCAGTAATACTTTGCACGACCAGAAAATGGAACCCGGGACTCCTTGCCCAGCAGTCGCACTTGCAACCACTCGGCCAACGACGCAGTCAGACTTATCTAACGTTAATAAAGGCAGCTAAAGCAGACACTGCCTAATAAAATTTTCGAAGTAACCCCGGTCAAATTAACTGTAAAATTCAGATACTTGTACATAATTAACAGGAAACTATCAAACGATTTTGGGTTTTCAAGGTCAATAGATAATTAAGGTATTTCCGAAGGTTAAGAAGGTAAACCTTAGACCCTTGTGTATAAGTGGAAGGTCAGAAAATCTTGGTGACCCTTTGATGGGTCAGTGAGTAACCGATCATGCGTGTAAGGGCCGGAGTGACCCATAATACGGCTGTCAGGGTAGCTAGAGATATTAAAATGTTAATCCTGTTTATTTTTCTTGTGGGTAAGCTGTGATGGGTTTTTTAAAACATACGCTACAGTAACTAGTCATGAAAATAGTGATATCACTAGCTGTTACCCGCGACTTCGTTCGCGTGAAATTATTCATAATTCTTGTTAATTTTTACTTTATTGACGCGAGAACGTGTTGAGAGCTAGTATGAAACGGAACGTTTATTGTTTACTCAAGATGGCGACTGCGGTTTGTCTGTCAGTCATTAAAACGAATTAACACGTTCGAGGACGCTACCACTTGAGTCGGGTTTTCAAAATGACACAGTACATGTCTATACAAAATTATACGACGTATCAGTACGTAGTGTCCCATGAAGAAATATCGTTTTAAACATATCATGACACAACCGTTTTATCACGTCAACGTGTATATGCATCTAGGTAAGGATCCGCCTCGTTGGAGATGTCGGAATCATCCAACATGCTTATCTTGTGTCTTATTTTGCGCTTATATCCATCTAAAACACACAATAACCCATTAAACATTAATTTCACACTGTAAAATCATTAATTTGCATTAAAGTAATGTACACAGTGACACAGCCGCGCTGAATGTAGGAGCGCGGGACGTATAAACACGTTGTGCGTATGTGAATACCGTAACCGCACACTATCAACGACACTTATTTTAAATAGTTCTAAACTTACCCTACGTGACAGTACAGAGTTGGGTATTTTATATGTTGTGACACAAGATACATTTAAAAGGATTTTTACTTGAACTTTCATCGGAAATCAACGTTCTGCCGTATAATTTAAATGTTATTTGAACGTCATCGTACGTTGTGCGATATTAAAATCTCGAACGATGACGTATAATCTCGTTTTGTCCTCGAACGTGTTAATAAAACGAAATAATCTCCGTAATCCGAATTTTGTGGATATAAGTTGTTGTAATATAGATATGGGCGAAGTCTAAACATAAATTCTAGTATATTAAAATATTTAATAAAATCTATAGTTCCGAATCCAATGAACAAACAAATTTAAATTAGCAAAATAAAGTTAAACAAACTGGATATCGTTATTATATAGGGTTTTGAGCCTAGGATTGTGCATACATGATTCGCGATAGCTATAGGCTCTTTTTAACTGGTAAAAAGTGCAGAATACATTAACAACTTTCTTTATCTATCATTTGGAGACTGAAAATGCTTTTGTAAACATAGATTTTTTACTCCCCAGGTATGAACCAGACCACAATCAGAACGGCAACTGCAGATACAATCAAAACCCGGGCTATGTGGTGTTCTCAGCCATGGGGTCGTTCTTCCTACCCATGGCAGTGATGGTGTATGTGTACGCCAGGATATCCTGCGTGGTGGCCAGGAGACACCAGCAACTAGCCAGTAGCACCAAGTGTAATAAGGTTCGTTGATATTTTGAGATTATTGTATAAATAGTGTGCTATTAATCACTTTTAAACTTTTTTCGCCATAAGGCAAACAAAAATTTTTATTACGAGTAGACGGAACACCTGATGGTAAGCAGTTGGCGTCGCCCATGACGCCTGGAACACCAGAGGCGCTACAAGTGCGTTACCAGCCTTTTGGCATGAGGGTTTTGAGGATTGTTGGGGATTCAGGGATTGGGGAGGGGGAGGGGGAGGGGGTTATTGGGCCTCCGGTAACATTACTCACACGACGAAACACAACGCAAGCGTTGTTTCACGTCGATCTTCTGTCTTCTACCTAAACTATACTCGCAAATTAAACATTTTTTTCGATTTCTACATAATTCGCTATGAGCGAATTTTCTATTTTTGTCATCTTAAAGAAACTTTAATTTTGTCATGTTTTTCACACTTTATTATTATCATAAACTGATTTGGATAATTTAATTAGTTTAGTTTTGACAGTTTATCTTCAAATCCTGTGAAACTGCTTTCATCTTATGACCGTTGAATTACTTGCCAATTTTTTCCCATATTTTCTAAGTTTCATATCAATTTATCATACATACGATGGCTTTTTATACAGTTCATAAAGATAAAGACATTTATTTGCATAAAACATGGTAGTTATACAGAGGTGTTATAGTTACAATAGATCATCATGTTTTGCTTAATAAATAAAGCAAGCACATTTGAAATGATTTCATACCCAAAAATTGCTCATATTCCTATCAGATATGATATAGGTACATCTAAATTAATAATTTCGTCGAGGGGTACGGTAGACTCGATCGAAAAATTACCTACTTAAATAACAACTTTAAAAAAATATCGATTTCGAGTCGACAACATATATCCGCAAAATACGGAGATTATTTTGTTTTATTAATTAATTTTAATGACGCTGACAGACAAACCGCAGTCGCCATCTTGAGTAGAGAATAAACGTTCCATTTCATACTAGCTCTCAAATACGCCTCGCCAATCAACACGTTGTCGCGTCAAAAAGTATAAATTAACAAGAAATATGAATAATTTCACGCGAACAAAGTCGCGGGTGTTACCCCGCTAGTACGGTTAAACTTTGGAATCCAATAAACCTTAAAAATTGTGTATCTTCACACACCTGCTTCGTAAAACAGAAACAGTTTCAATAGCTGGTTGTGATCTCCACGCTGCGTCACCGTATACGTCGCCAAACTGATTTTAAATTGGCAATTTCAAACTTTTGTCGACGAGATTGGTGACGGACTGGAGCAATTCGTTTCTAGTTGTGTGGTTCTATTCCCGTAAGGAGTAATAGTTTGCAGTACGTGATCATTCCTCTTTTTTCTATTTCTTGTTTATTCATCCAACGTTGAATTAAAAACGACAAAAGCATTATGTAGCTATAATATTAAAAACTATCTATTGCTCGCGACTTCGTCCGCGTAGAATAATGGCCTCTGGCAGAATTTATCAGCAGCTTTTGAATTAGTCTTTATCAAGGGATATTCTATTGTTGATTCTAATGTCGTCAGAATTGATTAAGTACCTAGTATAGGGCTCCTCCCCCGTAGATGATAGCGTAATAATATGTAGCCTATAATTTGACCCGACTTGTTAGCAAAATATGAAGTATATCCATGCAGTACTTTTTGAGATAATCCCGGAGATACAAACAAACAAAATTACCAAAAACCATATGTATATTTGGCTTCGGTATCGGTAGTAAATCACGCCCCACGTATTCTTTAAAAAAATATTAAATGTACAGTTTTGACTCTTCTACGATTTTGTTATATGTATAGATAGATATCGGTCCTTATACATAAATACAGCCCTTATAAGCTATTGTTTATCTACGGTTTCCGATTCGTTAATTCGATATCTTTACTTTGCGTCTTATGTCAAGTGTTTAGCCAAAAGCTCTGTTACTAAATCCCCTTAGCTAAAGTGTAAGCTCGTACGCTACCATAACATAACATCACGCCTTTTATCCCCAAAGGGGTAAGGTAGGCACTTAATGCCACTAGGTATGTGACACTCAATTTTCACTATTTAGGTTATGAGTCCCACGTAATAAGGCGTGAGCCTATTGCCATATACCGGGCACAATTTCAAACTCCGTGCTACTACTGAATTAAAAAAAAAACCATGCAACACGTTGCTCTACATGAGTATCGAACCCGAGACGCCTTGCTCGGCAGTTGCAGTCAACAATATGGCGGGACCATAAGCATATGCCTTGTCACGGAGACCCTAACGGGTTACCGGGGCTCCGGCTCGACGTGCAGGAGAAGAAACGGGGTGGTTTTTACTCAGTAAGAGTCTGACACTCCCTCTCGCCTCACCCAGGCGGGAGCAATTAATCGAAAATATTCGCCCCTTAAAAAAAAGTATATGCCTTGTTGTCGTTGGAAATGGTTTATTAATCCCCACGCTTGCTTTCATAATCTCTAAATAATCGTAGAAACTACATATATCTCGGAAAAAGTCACATCGATGCTTGCTGGATTTCAACCCAGATCCTATAATGGGAACTAAAAACACAGACACATAAAAATCCTAATTGAAAAACATCATAGACGCATTACTAGTCCCTACAATTTTCGAAAGTTCCCCGCGGTTTCCCTAGGATCCCATCATCAGATCCTGACCTCATGGAAATGGGACCATCTCGGGAGTATACCCTTTCAAACAAAACAAGAATTTTGGAAATCGGTTCACAAATGGCGGAGTACTGCACGATCAAACAAAAAAAAACAATCAGCTGAATATAGTACCTCCTCTTTTTTTTAAGTCGGTAAAAAGTGTATTATGGCTGCATAATAATATGCCCACGGTGACACATTGAGCGTGCATATGCGAGCATAAAACCAATATACACTGACCGTTAATTAATGTCTCTAAAAATTATTAAAGGTCATGATAAACTGGTTGTATATAGCTTCATATGTACCCATAATACATATACAGTAAACACATAACTACTAGTTCGTTTTTGACCCCTCAGGGGTGGCACCACGTATTCAATAAGCCGCAAATAGACGAGACTTTCTATTGAGACTGAGACTAACATTGCGGTTTGTGTCAACAAAGAAACACGACGTTGCTAGACTTATTAAATTGCAAGTTTTAAAGAAAATCGAGAAATAGATTTTTATTTGGTTTTGGTAGCGCTATATTGTTTAGCTGTGTAGTTTTTTTATTGCATAAGCCGGTAAACAAGCAGACGGCTCACCTGATGGTTAGCAATCGGCGTCGCCCATAGACACCTGGAACACCAGAGGCGTTACAAGTGCGTTACCGGCTTTTTGGGGATTAGGAGTTTGAGGATCGTTGGGGATTCAGGGATTGGGGAGATTGGGGAAGGGGAGGGTAATTGGGCCTCCGGTAACCTCACTCACACGACGAAACACAACGCAAGCGTTGCTTCACGTCGGTTTTCTTTGAGGTCGTGGTATCACTCCGGTCGAGCCGGCACATTTTGTGTTTTCAGATTTTAAAACCCTTGTTTTAATGCCTTCATTATGGTTGAAAGCGCGGCGCCGCCGCAGACGGCGCGTGAGCGGCGCGCTTAAAACCTTTTTATATTGATGCTGTAAAATGTGCCATACCACATTACGATATAAAATTGAAATTTAAATGACAAGTATATTTGTTTTTCTTTTTCATAAGAAACGTTGCCCCTCTCTATAATTTTCTCCTACGTCGTGGGTGCGTTTACAAACATACACTTTCACATACACATCACACCCAGACCCTTTTTACAAATTGCTGAGTTAGTGCTTGTTAGGTGTGCGATGCTCTTTAGACTCCTTGCTCAACCAGAAAAACAAAATCGACGAAAAAAAAATCGTTCCTCTCATTTCACATCTTCAAATCTTCAACTAGATAGCTGTCAGATACTCCAAAGGACCGACAGATATACCTTTGAACTGTAATCTTGACTTTCAAAAGTGTCTTTGTTGATCTTGAAGTAAGAGCCTTCGACTGTGAGACTTGAGAGTGGTCTCAAGTGTGCCCCATATTGACGTGACACAGTCTATAAACCTTCATACGATGGAGACGCTTCTAATGATACCTCATTTGTCTGTCTACCTCAAATTATGATAAGTAGGTTAAAAATTATACAATGGACAATATTGCTTATACCTTTAATATGAAGGCATAGGTTCGTGATTGTTAGGTATGTTATAAGCAAACGAAATATAAATAAAAAGAGAGAAGGCTATTGATGCACACATTTATTACGTCTGCAATTGTTTTACAAATTCCCGGGCTCCGCCACGCACATAGATCATCTATCACCAATCACCATAGAAAATACTATGACCATAGAGTATACCACAGATACACAACAATTATTAAGTTCAATTTTATCTCAGTGAGGTGTTATGTGATGACAACACTATAATACAATAGGGAAGATGACGAGATATGGAATGTACATTGAAATTATATTTAGTCCGACAGTTAGGGAATAAAAAAATATTAGACACGTATTTTTATTTTGTCGAATAAATAAATAATACTTTGATAAAACGAATCAAAGTTTAGGAGTGGGAGCTAAAACGTCATACCTAGAAGTGACGTCACGGGATTTTTCAAATCAATACATTGTCGAAAGTATTTGCTTCCGTAAGAAAGTAAGAAATACGTGTCTAATGTTTTAAAATAATCTACCAGACGAACATTTAAAAAAAGATTAGTCATCTACCCTAATCTAAAGTCTAATTTCATTTTACAAGAATCTATTTATTTCTCCTATTCTCCCACCGGGTGTTATAAGAACTGATTAAGGATTTTTTTTATGGCATAAGCCGGTAAACGTGCAGACGCATCACTTGATGGTAAGCAATCAGCGTCGCCCATGGACACTTAAAACACCAGAGGCGTTACAAGTGCGTTACTGGCCTTTAAGTAATTGGGAATTTGAAGATTGTGGGGGATTCGGGGTTTGGGGAGACTGGGGAGGGGGGTATTTGGGCCTTCGGTAACAT